TCAGTAGGCCTATTCCTTACCTAGTTGGTGATAGTGGTAAACCTATCATGGTAAGGTAAATAGGCTGTTTTGGGCCTATCCTAGGGTTGAAGTAGGGATAACCTCACTTTTGGAAAAATCACTAAAGACACGATTTTTGAGATTCACAAGTCACAGTATTGCATCGTTGTGTACAAAACGAGTGATAAACCGTTTCCGTGTAACCCCCATGCCTAATATACACCTTTGGGAAGTACGGTCAAAGTTGTTGGTTAGGCTAGGGTGGTGAACCGCGATCACAAATACAATATCACTACATAACATGCATACACTTGGTCGCACACTAAGCTACACGTCACGGGTGGAAATTATACTTTTTGTTTAAACCAGAGACGATATTAAAGTTCCGCAGTATAATTTCACAGTCGGCGCAGGTGAATAACAACAGTAACAACATAACCTGTACCACTAGTCGGCTGTCTTGGCGTTGTGTTGTGACAGCGCCAATTTTGAACTCGTGACGTCACCGATCAGCTGGGAAGTGAATCAGCTGATTCCCCATCCCTAAGGGGTTAGGGAGGGGGAAGTAGGGGAGATCCCTTGTGGGCTAGGGATGTGACGACATTCTAATCCTGCGATTGCGAGTGTTAGGACGTTAGAGTGATTACTTTAGTGATTTTGCTAAACGTGTGCTTTAGTGTGTCAGTGAAGATCCCTGGAGTTTACAGGTAATTCGCCGGCTTTATCTTAATAGTGTGTACTATTATTTTTTATTATTTAGCGATAAACCCTCATTTTATTCTTTTAGACATAGAACTCACGGTAGGATCTTTGTCGGGTGTTAGAACTTGTATAAGTCCGCTTTAGCGTATGCTAGGGCTCCCGTGGGTGGCAATAAAGAGTTTTAGGGATACAAATTTCGTTTAATATTGTGTTTACAATATATATTGAGGGTGACGGGGTTATAGCGGATATTTTGCCAGGATATTCAGTAGGTGTTGAACTGCTGCGGCAAAGCGGGCAAAGTTGAACCCGTCTCTGCAGGACGTGCAAACACGAGGTCGGGTGGAGCACGCTAAGTATATTCACTATTTAGCTAGTAATAATATTCTAAGTGTTGAGGTTGACGAAACTGCAACATTAAGTTGTTTCAAAATTTCATTGAACGGGTTTTCATTATTTTTAAATTTAATTTAATTAGCTGTTCCCAGGTGTGAACGATGATGATGGTACAGTAGCGTTGTTGGTTACCGGTACTGAGTTCACACCTGATTCACACTACATTTTTGCGTAAATACAAATCTGTACCTGTGCTAGGTTGTTAAGTTAATCAAATAAATTATTTTTATCTGAACCCTGGAAACTTCCCAGCACGCCGACTTGAGCGATCCGCTGGCGAGAGTTGGTGACGTCTTTCCCGCTTTAACTACGGAATAGCGTATATATTCCGAGCGGGAAAAACTGCACGTTACAATTTTCATTGAAATTATTAACTAATTAAACTAGATGCCGTATCTCAGAGTTTAATTGACAATTCATTAACTCCTCCAAAATCTAATTTGGTACTGCTTTTACATATTATAAAACATTTTCTACCTTGATCACATTGCTAATACCTCAACGTGTGACCACAGTTTAAGACAAAGCTTTCGTTGTCACCGCTTGCCGTCTTTGGAACCTCTGCATATTAGATCCCTTGAAAGACGTTCCCAGTTTGTGGCGGCACTGACATATCTTTACTTTGATCAGATGGTCCCGGCTGGCGTGTCCTAGGGGTTCTCTGACTTTGCGCGACTGCCGATGTGTACTGTACGTGCTTTCTTAATTTGCTATATTATTTCATTTATTTATTCATTATGTATCAGAAGTTTCAATTAATTATATGTATAAAAATTAATATTGGATTGTGTTAGGTTTTTTCCTAATCGTAATTTTATTCCTGTATATGTTAGTCAGGTTAAGTGTAAGAATGGCCCGTGTGGCCGTAACTTTGACTGGATATATAAAGACGTTAATTTAATTTGCATTATCAACAAGACAAATCTTCAGACGCCTTATCTCCTATTAGAATCAATTGAACTCTCATAGCTTAAAAGTATTTGGTAAGCATTCCATGGTCAGAATAGGTAAAGCTTTTTATGCATCATAGTTTTTACATTAGTGATAAAAAGGTTTACGGTGAAATATTTATTCAATATGGCTTTCAGAGACAAATTCATCCTCAAAAAATTGATCGTTCATAAGAGAAGTTCTCAGTTGAACAGAGCTAAGACAATTATTAAACGTTAGTAAAACATAAGGCTTTGGTTTTCCTTAATTTCTTTGGTAAAAATGTTAAAATGGTTTCAGATGTTTGTATGAATTTGCGAATGTAGAAAACCTTTTTGTTCCCAAATTATGTTTAATAAATATCTTACTTTATTTAATTATTGGATATTACTTTATTTCAAATGTTGTATTATAGCTTAAATTATAAATAGCTTACATTCCAATATAGCGTTAACGAATATTAACGCTAGTTAAATAACTATTTGATCATTTGATCACAAAAATCAATATATAAATCCCAAAGTACCCATGAACTTTTGAGAAAAATACAAGTGATACCCCAATAAACCATATACTTAAAATTTTTATCATGATGAGAAACCCTGCACAAAACTATCCATTATTTCATAAATTGCCCTTTAAGGTCGTAATTTCTTTCTAAAGGGAACTTTCCATACGCTAATGTAAAAAATACCACAGCTCTACTTGTTCGCTTGTCATTCTTTCAATTTATTACCTTATTAAAATCAGGTATTAAAATTTGTTTGTATAACTGTATTCTGTTTTGTTTAATTCAGCTTAACCCAACCAATCAATAGTTGTATTAATACATATGAAGTCAAACAAGGCGAAGCCCGTGGGTAACAGCTAGTTAAAACTTTAGCAAACAATTTACACGCACTTCTGGTTTGAAATAATTATGTAAACTTACAATCCACGATATACTTTATATGCATCGATTTTCTATTAAATCACTCCTTTCTACAGTTATATGTATGAAAACAACACAATAACTAATATTGTTAGCATGCCAACAAAACCTATCTGAACATTGCAAGCGATCTGCAGTTGCTGTCACAATGATGTTTATCAAACCTCGCCATCAACGTCAATGAGAAATTAATGAGCTTAAGCTATTTCTTAATACTTTCACATCCTAGGACACTGTACATATCACTCCACTCTAAGTCTAAAGGGTTATGATAATATCATCAATGAAAACACATGTATTCGTTGTTGTAATTTGCTAAAAAACTTCGGTGATCGGCGGGATTTGAACCCGTAACCTTAGGGACTGAAAACCAACGTTCTACACATTAATTGCCACAAGACAATGACTCCAAAGAGAAATTTAGCCAATAGACATATAATAATTAAAACCTTAATATTTCCTAAATGTAGTGGAAAACAGTATGGGTACTTTTAATCACCACATCGATTAATACTTAGAAACAATACAAGTCAGAAATGCAGAAATAGCAGTAAATACGATTTCAAACGATAACTGGTCATCGTTACGTGTAATGTGTTTTCATATGCAATTTATATAATATAGATAGAGAAGCGTGAGCTCAATGTCCACTATTTAAAACACAACAATCGTTCAAACTTTTAATATGGAGAATATTCAAATTATTGTACGGCACAGCCGAACAGGAATGAGTAGACTATTACTGATGAGATCAGATGACTGATCTGGATGAGATTATGAATGATGAGATGCCATAATTTTAACTGATGATTTAGCCAGGAGTATTTTTATTTATCAAATAATATAGGACCAAAAAAGAAAATTATAAAATTGTTTTCTCATTCATAAATTTTTCTGTCTCAAACAAATCTATTTAGTAAAAGCTAAAATGTAAATATATTACAAGTAAACGTCACGAACTGTTTCTGATAGAGTTCTGATGACAAACCGAGAGTGCTAATAACAGCCGAGGCCCCAAGCCGCGCCTGCTGATGTCACGCAATCACAAATCGAACATTTAACTTTTATCACGCTTTCAATCTACTCCTAGCAGTTAGATTAAAAAGTAACATTTTGATTGTTTCTTTTACAATGTTACTGGATTGGAATCCCGACAAACATGATGTAAAACCCATAGAATAATTAGTTACACTTATTGTCATACATTACAATTGTTTTCGCAGTTTTAAGAAAAGGTTTATGCGTTCTAATATGTAAAACAGCACCGTAATTACGAACTGCTCTTGGAAAAGTCTTATTCAATCTAATAAGCAATAAAACTAAACTTTCATAGCAGAACTTTCTGTTAAACTACTTATAGTATCCGAGGATTAAACATTATACTATTCTAAAACGGCCAATAGTAATTTGAACACGTTTAAACGTGGGATTGTGCAGTTTAATTCTAAATTATGGAATTTAACATAAGAGATTGCCTGGTTACCGTATTTTTTTATGTATTGTTGTTTAGCTATACATTTATTTTGATATTTCACTAGCACAATAAAACCCATGGTTGCGGGTTTTAGGACCATAATGATATTAATGTTAAAGTATAAATCAACTTTAATTTGAAAGATTTTAATCCCTCATAGTGGCATGAGGAATTAACACTTTGTCATTGCCAGTGTATATGGTAACATGGGGTTGTCCTAATAATTAGATCAGCTCAAATTGGTTTAAATGTCCGTTTTGGTACAAAAACTCTTAAAATGTGTAAAGTAAAAGCTAAAAGAAAATGTAATTCATTCCTCTTTCTAAGTTGTGAAAGAATTTGATGTGTTGTGTGCAATTCCTAATAAACTCACTGATACACGAATCAGAATTTATAATATCTAAGGACTTTTGAGCTAATCATCAATGACGACAATGATTGCCGAGTCAGCCAACATATCTCAGGCAGCCTGACGACACGAGTATCAAGTCAGCCAACATATCTCAGCCTGCCCGTCGACACAAGTGTCAAGTCAGCCAACATATTTCAGCCAGCCCGACGACAAGAATGTCAAGTCAGCCAACATGTCTCAGCCAGCCCGACGACAAGAATGCCAAGTCAGCCATCATATCTCAGGCAGTCCGACGACACGAGTGTCAAGTCATCCAACATGTCTCAGCCAGCCCGACGACACGAGTGTCAAGTCAGCCAACGTATCTCAGCCAGCCCAACGACACGAGTGTCAGGTCAGCCAACGTATCTCAGCCAGCCCAACGACACGAGTGTCAAGTCAGCCAACATGTCTCAGCCTGCCCAACGACACGAGTGTCAAGTCAGCCAACATGTCTCAGCCAGCCCGACGACACGAGTGTCAAGTCAGCCAACATGTCTCAGCCAGCCTGCCGACACGATTGTCAAGAAAGCCAACATGACTCAGCCGGCCCGACGACACGAGTGTCAAGAAAGCCAACATGTCTCAGCCAGCCCGCCGACACGAGTGTAAAGAAAGCCAACATGTCTCAGCCAGCCCGCCGACACGAGTGTCAAGAAAGCCAACATGTCTCAGCCGGCCCGACGACACGAGTGTCAAGAAAGCCAACATGTCTCAGCCAGCCCGCCGACACGAGTGTCAAGAAAGCCAACATGTCTCAGCCAGCCCGCCGACACGAGTGTCAAGAAAGCCAACATGTCTCAGCCGGCCCGCCGACACGAGTGTCAAGAAAGCCAACATGTCTCAGCCAGCCCGCCGACACGAGTGTCAAGAAAGCCAACATGTCTCAGCCAGCCCGCCGACACGAGTGTCAAGAAAGCCAACATGTCTCAGCCAGCCCGCCGACACGAGTGTCAAGAAAGCCAACATGTCTCAGCCAGCCCGCCGACACGAGTGTCAAGAAAGCCAACATGTCTCAGCCGGCCCGACGACACGAGTGTCAAGAAAGCCAACATGTCTCAGCCAGCCCGCCAACACGAGTGTCAAGAAAGCCAACATGTCTCAGTCGGCCCGAAGACACGAGTGTCAATAAAGTCTGAATACGACACTTAAAAAAATTCTGAACGTACTTAATGTAGTTTTAAATTAAACCACATCTCCAATAAAGCTGAACATCTTCAAGGATTACATACGTATTTTAGTAATAATTAAACTTTAATTCTTTTGACAGCCAAAAAGTATACTTCCTCATGTAAGGGACATGATTCATATCTCATACAAAAAACATTTTTCAGATTCATTTTTCAATCGTTGCCATGGTGTTATCGAAGTCATGTGTAACGAAACTGAAACTACAATTAATATAATGTTACGGTAAAGTATGTACATTTTACCTGACGAAGAGAACTATCCAACACTGTTAATATTTTTTTAAGTAAAATAAACCCTAAGGAAAATGCACTGAACTAGGAGGCACTAGCAGGGCCGGGGATAGTAGCTAGTAAGGGCTAGACCACTCCGCCGGTGTACCTGCATCCCGCTCGATTCACCCTGTGACGTCACGTGGTTGTCAGCCGCGCCTGTACTGTAGTATGATGGCAATGCTCGGCAGCGCGCGCGCCCTGTTTCGAATTAAAATTCCCGCTAAATTTAAAGACCAATGTTGTTAACCTCTGGCATTCTTAAAAGGAAAGTAAATTGTCTATGGAGTGGTGTAACTTGTTCATATGAATATTATTATTTACTATTTATTATTGAAGATCAAAGTACGAAGAATTGTCCTAGACTTTGAACATGTGGTTACTTTAATTATGTTTTTGAAATGAATATGAAATATTTAACCAAATAAACAATTTATTTGTGTTCCTTAAGGGTTTCTCGAAATAAAAAAAACATATATTTAGCCTTTCTGAATACAGTAGTAATATTTATATTCAAAATTATATTCCAGTTTATTTATTTTTACAATTTTTAAGGCGAGCTTACTAAAATTAGGTTAAAATTAAAAAAAAAAAAATATTTGGGTGGCGATATAAATATTTATTAGAATTTCCTATCATGTTCTTAAACTTTTTAAAATGTAAAATAAACTTTTGTAAAAATGTAAAACTCAAGCAGTTTTAAAACTAATGATTGTTCTGTGACACTTTTGATTGTTTCAAGAAAAATTTGCTTATCGAAAAACCTCAAATAATTAATATATAACAAATTATACAGTCACTAAAAATCATAAAATAATTTATTCTTGTAAAAAATACAACCGACTTCAAACGCTCTAAAAAGAATAAGATAAATTCAATAAAGAAACATTTGTATTAGTCAAGCTCATGTATTTCAAGACGGCTCTATCTGCAAATATGAATTAAATAAAAGATTGAGAATGTATTTTGAAAATCAATAAATTGTAGCTGGATAACATAAATATATAAAAAAACCTACTGAACTGTTTTGTTATAAACAAAATCAAAGGAAGTATTTTCTTGTATTTTATGTTTACTTCAGAATGATTGCATTATGAAGATAATACACACAAATGTTCTATATGAATAGGATAATAATTTATTGTGATATTATGATATATAGGATCTTTTTTAAGATACGCATTAATACCACTAGAAGATTATAATTTACTATCTTATTAAAAATTATAAATCATTAATTATTCGTTTTGGATTTGCATAGGATTCATATTTTTCTCAGCCCACTTAGTTATAGCTACATGTTTTTTACAGTTTTTGTTCAAAACACATAGGCTACTTTCTAAACACCTACAATTTCAATCGTGCTCTTTAGCTTTTTAGAGCTGCAAGATATTCTTACGTTTTATGCTAGCTAAAACTTTATTTTTTCGTCTAGCTAACTTCAGTTGCGATTTTAAGATTACTACTTCAGTTTGTAATTTTTCTTCAATTTCTGTTTTACTTTTACAGTTGTTGCAATTGATCACATCGGTTATTCCATCGCGATTCATCTCTGTGCCAGTGCCACATTATCCGGGATTTTACAAACAATAATTCCATAGGAAACAGATGAAAATCATAAACAAACTATCAGTCAGTCACATATTATTTGACTTCAGAACACTTCTAACCACAGCTAACATTAAAACTGAACTACATACTTAGCGCATTGAATGCAAACAAACAAGGGGTTCATTGCAGGAAGCGCTGGGCGAGGCAACCACGTGACGTCACGGGGCCGCCGACCCCCCCACTACCTGGCGCGGCGGCAGGTCCGTGAAGTTAGCCCCCCCCCCATAAAAGCACTAACAATTAAACTAGTATTAATGGTTAGTGCTTCGTTAGGGCCATGTCATACGAGCGCTATTGCCGTCGAGTAGATGCCGCCGCGTTAAAGTCGCTCCAACCCGGCAATGGGGTTCTTATGGAGCATGTCATACGGACGCTAATGCCGTCGTCAGTTCCGCGTTAGCTGGACGCTGAGCGCTGCCAACGCGGACGGTCGCGTTAGCAACGCGGCGCACGTAACGCGGGACCCTGTCATACGAGCGCTAGCGCCAGCGGTACGCATTTGCCGCGTGAGCACTGACAGAACAACTACTGGAACACCTTTGAAGTGATCATTATGATATTTGATACGATGTTCAATACGGAAAAATGTATTTATTTAGTTGAAAAACTGCCACATCTGTACGATGTAAAGTCGAGTGATTCCAGCAACAGGCAACTGAAGGCACAGTGCTGGAACGAGGATTGGGAGGCCATGCACGAAAACTGGAATCAGATGTGGAAATCAGTTTTACTTGTTTTATATTTAATAAAAATAATGCTGTTCCTTTGATTAAAATGATACTCTTCATATGTATCTAAAATGTGCAAAAAGCTGATACAACCTAACTGGATGGTGTCCATCTTTGCCGCGACGGCAAATGCGCCCTGAAGACGCTACGTATGACAGGTACCTGGCGTTGGCGGGACGGCATCAACGCGACGCATTTGCCGTCACGTATGACATGTACTTTTTCCTGCGCTATCTCGACGGTATCTGCGCAACGGCAATAGCGCTCGTATGACATGACCCTTAGTGCTGGTTAGTGCTTCAACTCCCATCGTTAGTGCTCTTACGGTTCAGGAGCTATAACCGAAAAACTGTGGGGGGGGGCCAACTTCACGGAAGTTAGCCCCCCCCAGTAGTAATATGTGAGCACTAACTTTTAAAACTGTACCAACGGTTAGTGCTTCGTTAGTGCTGGTTAGTGCTTCAACTCCCGTAGTTAGTGCTCTTACGGTTCAGGAGCTATAACCGAAAAACTGTGGGGGGGCCAACTTCACGGAAGTTGGCCCCCCCCATAAAAGCACTAACAATTGAACTAGTATTAATGGTTAGTGCTTCGTTAGTGCTGGTTAGTGCTTCAACTCCCATCGTTAGTGCTCTTACGGTTCAGGAGCTATAACCGAAAAACTGTGGGGGGGGGGCCAACTTCACGGAAGTTAGCCCCCCCCCAGTAGTAATATGTGAGCACTAACTTTTAAAACTGTACCAACGGTTAGTGCTTCGTTAGTGCTTCAACTCCCGTCGTTAGTGCTCTTACGGTTCAGGAGCTATAACCGAAAAACTGTGGGGGGGGCCAACTTCACGGAAGTTGGCCCCCCCCGTAAAAGCACTAACAATTAAACTAGTATTAATGGTTAGTGCTTCGTTAGTGCTGGTTAGTGCTTCAACTCCCATCGTTAGTGCTCTTACGGATCAGGAGCTATGACCGAAAAACTGTGGGGGGGGGGGCCAACTTCACGGAAGTTAGCCCCCCACCAGTAGTAATATGTGAGCACTAACCTTTAAAACTGTACCAACGGTTAGTGCTTCGTTAGTAGTGGTTAGTGCTTCAACTCCCATCGTTAGTGCTCTTACGGATCAGGAGCTATGACCGAAAAACTGTGGGGGGGGGCCAACTTCACGGAAGTTAGCCCCCCACCAGTAGTAATATGTGAGCACTAACCTTTAAAACTGTACCAACGGTTAGTGCTTCGTTAGTGCTGGTTAGTGCTTCAACTCCCATCGTTAGTGCTCTTACGGTTCAGGAGCTATAACCGAAAAACTGTGGGGGGGCCAACTTCACGGAAGTTGGCCCCCCCCATAAAAGCACTAACAATTAAACTAGTATTAATGGTTAGTGCTTCGTTAGTGCTGGTTAGTGCTTCAACTCCCATCGTTAGTGCTCTTAAGGATCAGGAGCTATAACCGAAAAACTGTGGGGGGGCCAACTTCACGGAAGTTAGGCACTTGTAACATATAAAAACCCTTTTTATAATTGAGCATAGTGCAATTGTAGTTTTAAAATTTTTATCTTCATATTTCATTGACTTGTTATCAATCTATTTATAAAAATATAATATAGTCCATATTTATTTAAAAATAGGTTGTTCAAAGCTAACAAAATATTTTGTAAACATTAATAAAACTGGAGATTGTATTAGTGTATTTAATTAAACATTTGTTATATGTTTTATCTATCTTATATTCAATGTACTGTAACTTAACGAACCAGTTAAGCACTTAATCAACAAATTATTTCTTTGCTTCAAGAGAGAAGTGAAAACTGGTGACCATGAAGGTGCTGCGATCTGAGCGGAGTCAAGGGAAATCCCTCAAAATTTGCCAAGATTCTCCACTGCAGCACTAGTGTTGTAGGTTGATGGTAACTGTTGCTATTGCAAACAACTATAAGCTGGCTCTCCTCCCCATTAGTAAAATTTAAGCCACCTTTATGAGAGTTACCGTTGAAACTACAGTATCTTAAAATATAATACCTTTAGTTGTTATTCAAAGTATTAAGTAGGTTATATCCTTAGTGGATAAAAATAAACTTAACTTCTTGGATATTTTAAAAGGTATCAAGTAGAAGTGCTTTGTTAATTTATATCTATTTTAACATTTTAAGTAAACAAATAAAATAACAGGGTTATAATTATAAATGCACTGATTGTTTAAAAAATTTGTATTTAACTTAACATAAACATTACATAAGCTATACACACTTAGGCCTACTTAGTATTTTTTTAGATAGTAAACATGATATTTTCAAACAACTCATTTTCAAAATGAATACTATTACAAAGCCAAAAGAAAGAAAATACAAAAG